ACTTCTCCCGAGCTCGCTTCGCCTCGCCGACCTCGCTTTTGATCTCGTCCAGGAGGCGCTTGATTTGGCGCACCGGGGGTTGCCCTCCTGAAGGGAGCTCTGGCTCCTCGGGGTCATGGTCCTCCGCCTGCGCCGCACGTGCCGGTGATCGTCTCCGGAAGGACGGCCTCTTGGACGGTTGGTGATGCCGGCACCGCCTGAGCCCTTCATCATCTGCAACTCCAACATGCCAACACCCGGAAGCGAAACATGTCTGGGGTCGTCGCCGTCGCTCGTAATCGAAGGCATGCTGAGCGCACAGAGCAGCGGTCCCGGCCTCGTTGTAGCGGTCCTCCACGAGCAAGGTGCAGGTGTTAAAGCCAGAGCCTTTGCACGGGCCACCCGCCAGCTGATGATCACCATCTCGGTCCGACCAACGAACACGGTGGGCTTCACAAGAGCGCTCTTCGGTCTCGGACTCAGACCCGAACTCCTTCGGAGGTCGGGCCGGCTTTGGACTGGAGGACCACAGCCACGCCCACAAAGTCCTACCAGCTTTAGTAGCTTCCAGCTCGGCGCTTTTCAGCTGAAACTTCTCGGCATCGAAGTCCTTGGCCACGGCGTACTCCTTGAAGTGCTGGCCGTCCTCCGAGCACACCAAATGCCGGCAAAGATGAACTTTATCACAACCACGGCATGCGTCCACGATGGTCGGGCTTCCCCGAAGTGAATCGGCTTCGACGGGAACAAATAGGCCGGGGGAGCGGATGGTTTGGTTGTCCGCCCCGATCTTGAACACTGCAACATGCCCTTCGCGACGAACCAAAGCCCACTTTTCGCTCTGAGGGGAAGACTTGAAGAGCCGGAGGTCGGCCGTCTCGGGGATGCGACCGGTTCCCGGTCCCAGGAACTCTGCACCAGCCGCCTCAGGAACACCACCAGCTGCCCGTTGGGCCCAGTAAATCAGCGTTCCCAGCTTCCTGATAGCAGATCTTACGACCCACACCAAACACATCACGATGAAGGTCACCAAGGAAATAACAGGCCAGCACAGGGCCCACAGGTAGTGTGCTCCCAAGCACAGCAGTAGCAGCATGGACAGCCGAAAGAACCTCTGGCCACCAGTGCGAACGTTAGGCCAAGCGCTTCCGAACAAAGTCCAGCCTACAAAGCTCACCACCGCATCAAGAAGCATGCAAAGCCCGCTATCCCACGACCACCCTTTGGTGCCGGTGGTGCCGCTTCCTGCTCCAAAGAACCAAGTCTCCCAGACGTCCTGGAGGCCTGCCCCGGTCGCCCACTTATCCTCGGCCCAGGCTCGCAACTGGGTCCACCTAGAGAACTCCTCGCCGGTGTCCCTGTGAACCTCAGCTTGCGATGACGAGTTGGCTGCTTCGAAGAGCCAGCCCCCTCCACTGCGTGCTGCCGCGATGGCCAGCACGAATCGCACAACATGTGGCATGGCGCCCTACGTACCAAGCTTCTAAGCCACAAAGAGCTCTGGGGATCGAGCGCTTGCTCTTTCTGCCCAAAAAGCAACAGTTATCGCTAACTTACCATAAATCAGCAAACAACAATTTTTAAATACACATGCGTTATATGTATGTGCATACATTAATTGGAAAGACAGTGGTTTGCTCCCTGGCACTGAGAAAGAGCGAGAGAACGGGGAACGTCAGAGCGACACTGTATGCAAGCTCACCAGGAGCCAAGGCGAAAGCTGTCACCTTCAGCCCGTCAGGTGCTGTCCCCAGCGAGTTTCGAAGAAGGGATCGAGACAATAATAGGGTAGTTTGGGCACGTCAGCATGTCTGATTCTTCCTCGGCTGCCTCTGCCGAATACAAGCAGGGGATCAGGTGCCGAGTGGTGGGGCTGAGCAACGCACGTAGGTTTGGTTTGCTCTCCAGAGAAGAATGTGAAGTCGGCTGATCTTCGCTTCGATAAAGCATGTCCAGATGTCGCCAGACCACCCACAACAGCTTCTCCACAATCCTCCCAGCACTGGAGTCTTCACTAAATGCAACCGGGTGTCGGATCTGCCTTGAGGCAGCCAGGGAAGCTTGCTTGTTGCTCAACTCAACACCAAGGAACTTGGCAGCTCCACCTGCTGCGTTTGGCTCTGGCGCTGGTGATCCTCCTTTTCCTCAGGCCGGCCTGGAACTTCGAATCCGGCACAGATACTGCCGTGTCGGACAGTGACAAAAGACCACCGCAGACAAAACGAGACCCTGTTGTAAAGCTTACTTCCCAGGCCCTAAACCTTAAACCGTCCGATTGAGTTCAATGCAGCCTCCTTCTGCCCGCACGCCATAGATCTCCCCTCGGCCGAGGTTCCGCACCCGCAGGAAAAGGCCGGGCAATAAAGTCAATTGATGCGGCGCATGGATCCCGGAGTGAATGAAGCAATGTGGGGTTTAATCATATCATATCATATCATATCATATCATATATATATATATCATATATATATATAGATAGATATATATATACACACACACACATATATATATATATATATTATAATACAACTATTTTGTACCATATACTATGTGCGGTTGTGAAGTCATTGCATCGGAGGGCCCGGGCGCTGCCTTGGCCAGGTCTCAAAAGGAGGAAAAGGAGCATGAGGACGCTCCAGCCATGGGCAACGGATGCACCTGACGTAGATCCTTGCAAATAGTGGTGTTGCATAGGCTGTTTCGTATTAGCGGCTATTCTTCTCATTCGCAGGACGATGTTCTTTTGGATTGAGCTGTTCAACATTGTTGTGTGGACTAGCTGGGAAAGTCAAGGATGTGGAAAACTTGAAATCGTTAAGGGGGCGTTTGCTGCGAGAAGCACTCCTGACAAAGGACCTTGCACAAAGGTTGCAGGGATGTTGCCGGGTAGATGCTTGCCAGTCCGGGAACGGCGGGGGGTTGTTCTTCAACACGTGTCCATTGTTAGGCCCATAGCTGCATGGAGTACAGGTGTACCCTAAATACAACCCCCTGCACTCCTAGACTCATGGTTTCCAGCGGCACCTCTCAACGGGGAGCGCTGGTGATGTTTTCGGTGACACACTTCGCGGGGACGCATGCAAAGGCCCACCTGCTTCCAAGATGGAGATGCCTGAGGGCCTTGTTGCAGCACCTGGGGAGAAAGCGTGGCGGTCAAACCTGTGTCCACCTGGCCTCTAAGGGCAAAGTTTAGATTTTAGGTTGACATAGAAATCTCTGATTGCCTGCATTGCTCCGGCGGTGATTTCGTCGGTATTTGATCGGCAAGACACTCGAAATCAGACAGCAACAGGGGCTGCCTCTTGAGATGAGCCCCAAGAGTCGTGGATTATGACGGATGGTTGTTCTTTCTCGACCCTTGTCTGACTTGAGGCCATTCACATGCATGTCAAGCATTGGGCGAAAGCTCTACCCTTGAGTGCCCGAGAGATGGCTTTTGCATTATCGGGCTTTGTTGCTGGCCGGGGCCATACCGGAGGTAGAGATTTCTACATACAAACTGCTGCAAAATCTCCTGCCTGTTTACCTGCCACTTGCTCACACAGCTACAACTGTACCCATAGAGCCCACAGAACATGTGCAAAGACACCATATATATATATATCTCTCTCTCTCTCTCTCTCTCTTTTACACATACATATGTGTATATAAATATATATATATATAAACACATGTGTGTCCGTGTGTAATATATTTATTTTTATATCTGTATTTATATTTATTTTTTATTTATTCGTATATATATATATATACATATATATATATATGTATATATATATATATGTTGTCCGTCTGTCCGGTGTCGGTCTGCTGGTCTGCATGTATGAATGTGAATGTGTGCAAGTACCAAAGCTGCACATAGGCGCACATACGCAGGTGCACCGGTGCTTGCACATAGCCCAAATCAACATGGACATATTTCACCTCGCCTCACAGTTGTAGATAGCGGCCGAAAGCCTGGAGACCGGAGTTGCGAGAAGTCATGTGGTGGCATGGCCACATCACCATTTTCATCGGCATGCTCAGGTCATGCTCATCCTTACCAGGCATAGTTATATACACGTTCATGGTTGTTTATTACAATTGTGACAAGCAGCGCCTGCCGAGATGAGTTTTCTGCATCGGCACTAGCAGTGCGACCATTGTTCGCTTTGTGTGCTCACGCACGCGAAAACTGACGTGGACCATCAGCGTATTCTTGTTAGTTTTCCGGCATCTATGACTATCAACCGTCGTTGTCGCATTGGTACTCCGCTGGTGGGTTCCGAGTGCTGCTGGTAGTGGGGATGTGCGAGAGGCAGCGGTGATGGGGGTTGGAGTGGTAGCGGCTATAGCGGCTGCGGTGCTAGTGGTTTTCGTTGTCCCATCGCCGCCTTAAGGTTGGCGCCGTCGACGGTGTCGTCGTACCACACTGGAAGATGGCGGAAGCAATATTAACATGTGAAGATCATCGATTGTGTGACGGCAGGGGCGGCAGCAGCAGGAGTAGCAAGTAGTAGTCTTCGTCGTGGCAGCAGCACCAACAACAGCGTCAGCAGTAGCAGTAGCAGCGGTAACAGTAGTAGTGGTAGTCGTCCTCGTCGGCGGCGAGCAGCAGCAGCAGCAGCAGCGGCAGCGGCAGCAGCGGCAGCAGCAGCAGCAGCAGCAGCAGCAGAGCACCAGCAACAGCAACAGCAACAACAACAACAACACCACTACCACCCGGTTCCTATTTTGTGGCTGTTGCTGTTGCTAATGCTGTTTCTGTTGCTGTTGTTGCTTGTTGATCCGTACTCTGGGTCCCCATTGCCTACTGGTTGCCCCCCGACCCCCCCTCCCCCCTCTCACCCCGCAACAGGGGCCAGCCCCTGCCTGGTGGTTGCTGTTATTGTTGTTGCAGCAGCAGCACTTGTTCAAGTGTTTGCTGTTTTTTCATGATAGTGTGGAATGTCGATCGCAGTGAGTCTGCAACTGTTTCGTTTCATTGCTCAAACAGTTTTTGTTTAGAACTGTACTCGAAGTTTGCCTCGTGGATCAAAGCCATGGCAATTGTGGAACGTACGGTCGCGGCTTCTTTTGGACCCAATTTGGGGGATCAGTTCATGAGGAAGCCTCCAGCACCGGCTACGGAGGATCACATGCCTGTGCTTCCCAATTTCAGCCGCATGGCCTTCCTTAAGCCTCCGATGCCGGATTTTCCAAAGGAAGCGTTGATGGGAGAAATCGGAAGCAGTCCGCAGAAAACGGCAAATCGCCCGTTGATCGAGGATGAGGACGACTTCGAAGCGATGATCACATTTCCTGACGGCGATTTCGCTCGGGCGACTAGCACAAGCACGGCCAAAGAGACCCTGTGTTCTACGGTGGACACCGTAGGCTCCTCATGGGACAGTGCCTCCTGGCATCGCGACTTACCTGCAGGAACTATTGTTGCCCCGGATCGTCGCCTTCATGAGCGTCATGTCAAGAAGATGGATCGCTTCCTGCACGATGTTGAGCTGGCACCACGGACCTTCAGTGGCATCGTCCGTAGCAGGCGCAAAGCCGAGTGAGCTCTTCGAGTGGCACCTTGCCACAACCCACGGACTGGATTACCTTCCCTTCCCTGCTCTGGGCTTTCAAAGGGAAGATTATCAGCCACCACGCGGTTTCTGTTCTTGTTTCAAGACTAGGGCTAGCAAGTACCGGTGCCGGCTAGTTTGGCAGATCTTCCGTCGAGCTAGAACGATAGAGGCGTTGTTCTGGAGATGTGACAGTGGACGGTACGTGCGGGCCCCACGTGTTTAAAGTGTGTATCAAGAATAAGTTTTTGATTTCCATGTCGGATGTGCCCCCTTCACCTGCCACACGCTTTGATCCTGTCTTCACGCGAGGTTGAAATTCGGTTGAAAAACAGTTTTTGTGGAGCTGCAACGAGTATCAGGTGTTGTAACGGACAAGCCCAATCTGGCAGAGTGTGAGGTGACACAGTTGCATGTTTGAAGAAGTGTCGCCGAGCGGTGCCAAGCCCTGTTCATGACAGAGCGGTTGGAGCTGTACAGTTTTCAACTTCGGCTCTTCGGTGATAGTTTATGCGTTTCTTTGCGATGCCAGGCAGAGCTTCCTGGCCTCTGTAGTGCGTAGGGGCTTTCCTGAATGGAAAGACCTGATTCTTATACTCGTGAGCTGCAGGGGGATGCTACCTCTCTTCCCTGCAATGCTGACTCTTGAGAGGTAAAGACCTTGGCCTTAAGATCCTTGCATGGCCCGCAAGCCCAAAAAGTCCGAGACTGACTTCGATATCCCTCAGCGGCGTCCCCTAAACTTTCCCTAAACCCTAAACAGAAAACCCGAAGCTTCGGATTTTTCCGCGCAGGTTCCCCTGAACCCCTCCATGCTAGCCGGCCTGGCAGCTGCTGGCGCCGTGGTCGTTCTACTACCCCTCGCCTTCTGCTGCACCCTGACAGGCTTCTTTGGGATTTTAGGGGCTCTGGTGTTCTGAGATTTCAGAGCCACGGTTTTTGGTTTAGGGTTCAGGGCTTATAGGGTCTAGGGTGATCGCCTTCGCTTCCGCCACGGTTTGCCATGCAGGTGACGTGTGAAGCTTCAGCCGAGATTGTTTTGCATGCAGAGGCAGAGGCAATATCTGATCAAGCCCGCACCCTGTCCGAGCCAAGGCATTTGCCCAAGAAACAAAGCAGGCCCATCCAAGCAGCTCGGCATAATGGTTCGAATCCTGCACGAATCTCAACATGCACTGCTTTTGAAGTTCGTATATGCATGATTAAATGATGACCGAGCTACAGCACGGGGGAGTGCTCGAGTTGCACCTTACCTTATTCCCCAAGTTCCGAGCTGCAGCCGCCCCAAGGAAGACGCTGAAGAAGAAGGCCAAGTCAAGAAACAACCTTAGCGACGAATCCCCGGCGGCTGAAGACATGAAGGCACAGCTGTGCCTTGCCGGTACCCCTCGTATCGAGATGCTTATGTGATTCGGGCGTGTGGCTCATATCGGCTGCATTGGAAGGAGGTGACATCACTTTTTGTGCAGGGGAAGGGCAGATCAGGAAAGAGTTTGTTGCAAAAGCACCGGAACCCTACAACATCCCTCACAGCGACAGTGTCGGCTGTGATGGAAGGCCGCAGAGGAGCCGATGTTGATCAAAAAGCAGCAGCGCGGCAGCACATCGTTCGCGACAGCCTCCATGCGCAAAGATTTCTGATGCGGGATGGCTTTGACGTGCTTGGCTTTACTGGTATTGAGCCGGTCAGCAAAAGAGCTTCAAGGCATGATTCTTGAAGCAGACAGACCTGCCAGGATTATCGGATCTGGAAGACATGTTGAGAATTTCAGAAAGCCGACCTACAGACATTTAATGCCTCGCTCTCTGGACTGTCCGAATTGTGAGCTCATAAACCCTCCCTAAACCCCAAACCCTGAGCCCTCGTCCCAAGGAAAAAAGCCAAAGCTTCGGACGAAGAGGTGGAGGCGAAGAAGGCAGCATGTCAAGAGTCTGGCCAAGCTCTGTTTTTCAATCAACCCCCTTGAGTCTAATGGGTTTAATACGATTTGAGTGAGTGTGTTGTGGCTTGATACTTGGTCTAGAGTCTAGCGACTTTTCACTGACTTCCTATGTTGATTGGTGGCCTATGCAGCTTAGCCACATGTATGACCATGCTGTGGACATATCAGTTATATCGCAGGAAAAGTGTTGTTTCGAGGTGCGGCATTCTTTGGCTTACGCGACTGCCTGATTGTGTTTCTGCCTTCTTTCGTTGTCGCGGAAAAGCCGAGTTTGCCGGGTTGTACGAAGAGAATAAGGTGTTGGAAGCTGTTGCTCTGCTATGGCCCCTACACACTCGCACGAGCGACGACAAATTATATCGTTTTGCTTTCGTCCCAACCCTTTGCCAAGACATGTTGCCTATGACTGATGTGTATGACCAGGTCAGTTTGAGGCTGGTGTTGCTCGCCCGCGTGCTTGTTGTTCTTGGCCCTTTCTTGCCCTTAGCCTCTCATCTTGTTCAAGAGTGCGCTTGTCAAAGCAGAAGATGTTGATGATTAGACACCGCAAGGCTGCTGTGCCTTTCATGTCAAGTTCTTCGTGATGTGGGCGGTCGGTGCCATGCCACGGTCGTCTTTCTTGACAGCAAGGCTTCCTGCAAGAAGTTATGGCGAGAACAGGGATAACTATACGGAATGTGTTGACCGCAGTCTGTGTCCCTCTTGAGGGCTTTACCAAGCGCTGCAGTGACGAGAAGCACCGGATTGCCGTTGCTGCTGCATGATCATGACACAAAGTACTTGCTGTCCCCACCGTTGTCAAGTTTAAGTGTAGCAGTCGTGTCGGAGTAGAGTGATGCCACTGGTTCTGATTTGAGTTTCCATCCTAGTCTTATAACAGATGATACGGCCAGAACTGGTTTGTTAGGTCTAGAGCAAGGGGCCTTCAAACCCTGAACCCTGATCACATGCTTCGCCTGGATTGTCCGAGCGTGAGCCCCGAAACCCTGATGCAGGGTGCAAATCCCCAGACTCCTTAAGTTTACTCTTACTAATCGGACTGGCTGAATCTGGTGTTCGATCGTTGCGCCATCGTTGCTTAGACGGCAGTTGTGTGAGTCGTAGGTATGTGCAAAAACCTAAAGCCCCGTCTCGAATCCCACACTGCTCCCTACAGGCGGAGCAAGCGAGGCGAAAGGAGTGGCATGGCTGCAAGTGACAGTCGCGATTGAGGGTTTAGGGGGTTTAGGGTTGCTGCAGGTTCCTGGGTGGCGTCGGCTACGATTTTCGGGGGGCGTTCGTGTCTTCCCCTGCCAGGTGAAGTAATCCTAACACCTAGCAGATGCCCAAGGCGTCGGAAATGTACTGTCTTTGGGTGTATGAACAAGTACCTATAGGGATACTTGCAAGTGCTAATGGCAGGATGCTTCTTGATTACTCCATGTGCAGTCTTCTCAGCCACAGGGCTTTCTCTGCAACAGCAGGATGACTCCCAGACCATCCCCTCCACTGGGATTCTGTCAGTCGCCCAAGGATGAGCAAGGCAGCGGTCGAGGCTAACAAGAAGAAGTCACTTGGTCACGTTCTCCAAGCAAGTGTCAGGAGGTTTGAGCACACCGGGACGGCTGACAGGAAAGAAGGTTCTGGCGATTCGGGAAGATTCGGGGCTGTCCGGAAAGGGGCGGCGCTCGTTGTCCAGAGTTTGCTTCGCAGTCTGTCTGGGATAGTCTGAGGGCCAAAACTAGTGAACTAGCTATCGTGCCACCACCGACAGCATGATTTTGTGACTCATGTCAATCCCGGCATGCAAGGCAAGGCGCAGCAGCTCCCAAGCCACTTTTCGGCATTACGTCCAGTTACTCTGGTAGAGATCACCTCCTTCAGTAGACCCATCCTGAGGCTTTTGGCTGCAAACACCGTTCCTCGAGTGTAAGCCAGTGACGATATTCTGTGTTTTTCGGAAGCTCGGGTTCTGAGCTTCGATCCTCTCTGAACATCTGGAGGTTGCAAAGCGCCACATAGACGTAACCCTTCTGCCGCCAACCGCATCCCGCTGAGGGCATCGGGCGCAGCCAAGAAGACAGCGGAGGAGGTCATCAGTTGCAAGTTGGGCAGTGCCTGCGCATCGTCGTCATTTAAATATCGGAAGTTGGGAAGTGCAGGTGTTGCCTGCCAGGCAGTTATATCCCTGAGCTCCGCTTTGATTGTCCACCCTGCGCCAGGTCGTCCAGCAGAAGCGGACTGGACCCAAACTCTCTGAACAAGAAGCTAAGGTGGGCGAGGGGGGTGGGATGTGCAAGAGCATGACCTGTTGAGGCTGGGGTTATGGAACAGGCAAGTGCTCAAGAGATTATAGCTCCAGCAAAGACTGCAGGTCTGTTCATCATTCCAGGCTTCCGAGCCAGTCCCACCAACGAAGTGATCTATAGTGAATCTGTAGGCAGTGACTGCAGGCATATATATATATACACACACACATAGTATAAGAGAGAGGGTGTTTGCTGCCGTGTTTGAGGCTTTGCGTATTTGTGTGCAGGCACTCTTCGAGAAAGCGCAGCAGAGGAGCCAGCTCGGGTTTTTGTGGTCAGTAACACATTCCAACACGACGTGGCCAAACAAATCCAAACAAGCGAGTGTCTTGCCGCGATGGTAGAAGTCATCGGGGCTCCGTGATCCCACAAGATGCTTGCAGGGTAGGTGCCGCCTGAAGTCTCTAGTTAGTTGCGTCTGGTACAGACAGTTCACCGCTTCCCCACAGTACTCATTTCCGAGGCATGTCTCATGAATGTCCATTACACAATGTCAGCCTTGCCCTTCGGCCATCTGCCGCAGAGGTGTAGTAGACAGAAGTGCCGACCACGACTTGCGGTCATACGAAACACTTTTTGTGTTTCATGGTTCATTCATGGTGCTCACAACCACAAGTGTCATTGTGATTGTTTTTGTTCAGTTGACAAGTTCTCGAGAAGAAAAACTGGTCTTTGGATGTAGCGCACAGTACGCTTCTTGAGCTACGGTCGCAGACGCCCTCTTAAGCCAAGCTGCTTACTGCGCAAGGAATCAGAAGAG